TTTCTCTCAACCCCCACCTCCCTTCCCTCCCATATCCGATAAGTCCCGGATGCGAGACGGAAAACGATGACGCAATTGCAATTTCGATTATCTGATAAGGGAGGAGGGAGAGGGGGAGGGAGGAGAGGAAGGGGAGGAAGGGAGGCGGGGGGGGGGAGTGGTGGCAACGGCGCAAGCTCGTATTCCGGGAGTTTGATCACCTCTTGACACACCGGAGAGCGAATTTCGATATGCCGCGGTGACGACGGTGGTTAGACATTAGACAGTGGATTTAGAAAAAAAAAAAAATAATAATAAAAAATATATATATATAGGTTCGACATTAAGCAATTTCATTAATTTAGAGACTGGCGTACGAATGATTAAATGGATTAATGAGTGCATGCATTTTTGAGTTCAAATTCAAGATGATTAGGGTCGTAATTCTCACATAGTTTCCTAATTAACATTAATTTGGAAGTGTCTAATCCATGGACACGATAAGGTTAACGTTAAAGAGAGAAGAGAGAGATAGACAGAGAGAGAGAGACAGAAAGAGAGACAGAGACAGGAGAGAGAGAGAGAGAGAGAGAGAGACAGAGAGAGAGACAGAGAGAGAGAGAGAGAGAGAGATGAGAGAGAAAGGACAGAGAGAGAGGAGAAAGACAGAGAAGACAGAGAGAGGAAAGACAGAGAAAAGAAAAGAGAGAAGAAGAAGAAAGAAGAGCAGAAAGAAAGAAAAAAGAAAGAAAGAAAGAAATGAAAGAAAGAAAGAAAGAAAGAAAGAAAGAAAGAGAGAGAGAGAGAGAGAGGAGAAGAGAGAGAGAGAGAGAGAGAGAGAGAAGAGAGAGGAGAGAAGGAAGAGAAGAGAGAAAAAAAAGGAATGCATTTATACGTATAATATGTATATAGAGTGGGATAGGTTGTCATCGACGCTTCAGGAACAGCGACCTTAACAACCTGTTCAGCTTCGTGACGCTGGCTCTGTGCACCTGCTGGAACACCGTGAATGGGCCTTGTACACCTGTGATTCATTGGCGTCTATTGGGTGTATTGTGAGTAATAATCGTGAAAGAGAAATTATATATATTATTTTTCGTTCGTTAGTTTGATTTATGAACACGCTCATGTACACTTGAGAAGAGATAGAGATACATACACATGCATATACATGTGCACATACACACACACTCACACACACTCAGTCACTCAGTCACTCACACACTCACACACTCACACACTCACACACTCACACACCACACACACACACCACACACACACACACACACACACAACACACACACACACACACACACACACACACACACACACACACACACACACACACACACACACACACGTCCACACACACGTCCACACACACGTCCACACACACACACACACGTCCACACACACACACACACATCCACACGTCCACACACACGGAAACGCACATGCATACGTACATGTACACAGAACTCACAGGTTTACGGAGAAGAATTCACTATTGTCTTCTCGGGTCCATTGTCTTCGAGGAGAGAGAGAGAGACTGCAGTGTTGTAAACCTCGCCGAGAAAGTCTGCGGATCTCCACGCCATGTTTCACTTTTTTTATTTTTTTAAATTCATTATTATTATTATTATTATTATTTATATTATTATTATTTATTATTATTATTATTATTATTATTATTATATATTATTATTATTATTATTATTATTATTATTATTATTGTTATTTATTATTATTATGATTATATTATTATTATATTATTATTATATATATTATTATTATTATATTATTATTATTATTATTATTATTATTATTATTCATTATATTATTTTATATTATATTAATTATATTTATAATATATATTATTATATTATATTATTATATTATTATTATTATTTATCATTATTATTATCAATATCATCATCATTATTTACTATTCTCAATATTATTACTATTATCATCATTACTTTATTTATCATTATGATCATTAGTATCATTATTCAATCGATAGGACTTTCTCATCATTTACAAAAAGGATGAAGATAATTTTTAAAAATATATATTGCATAACAGAGAAACAGGAGCGAATAGCGAAAAGGAAATGAAGTTTAGGAATACGTAATGACTGTTTGGAAAAAAATAAAAAATAATAAAAAATTCTGGCCAGTGGTTCCATCGATACACCTCGCCCCCCCCCCTCCTTACCCTTATCAAACCCCACCCATCCACTACACCTCCTACCCACCACCACCCTCACCCCCCCTACCCCCAATCTCATACCCACACCCCCAACCACACCCTACCCACCACCACCCCTTACTCATGCCCCCCTCCCTCCCCTAAACCCCACTCCCTACCCACCACCCCCCCAACCCCCTACCCCCCTCCCCTAAACCCCACTCCTACCCCCACACCCCTCACCTACCCCCTACCTCCCTCCCCTAAACCCCACTCCCTACCACCACAACCCCTCACCCCCACCCCCCCCCCACCCCTACCTCCCCCCCCTAAACCCCACTCCCTACCCACCACAAACCCCCCTACCTAACCCCCCACCCCCACCCACCCACCTCTCCGCTCGCAACGGCACGAGGGCGTGATCTGAAGGGAGCAACATCGCGCCCATTGTTTACGTTCGTTGCACGTTCTTGCACAGGCTGCAACATCCCCGCATACCCGTTCCTCGTGAGGTGAGGGGCCGCGGGAAGGAGTCAGGAGTGATGAACAGGTTATGTGTACACTCACGCACCTATAGATATTTTGTGTGTGTGTGTGTGTGTGTGTGTGTGTGTGTGTGTGTGTGGTGTGAGAGAGAGAGAGAGAGAGAGAGAGAGAGAGGAGAGAGAGAGAGAGAGAGAGAGAGAGAGAGAGAGAGAGAAGAGAGAGAGGAGAGAGAGAAAGAGAAAGAGAGAGAGAGAGAAAGAACGAAGGAAAAAAAAAAACAAAAACAAAAAACAAATGAAAGAGGAGATGAAACAGACGATAGAGAGTATAGTGAAGAGAACATATAAACCCCCCCCCTATCTCTTCTCCCCCCTCCACCACCCTTCCCCTACCCCCCACCAACTTCCCCTACCCCCAACCCCCCACCCCCCCCTTTTCCCCCACGCCCTCGCTCGGACGCAACGGGCGTGGTTGGGCGTATGGTGGTAGCCGCCTGCAATAAAGATAATGACAAGCCATAAAGTCAATTGAGTAAGATTTACCGTATCTTGTTAGTGAACTCTTACTCTCGCGTCGAATGTTGCAAGTTGCTCGGGTTCGTCATGATGTCAAGAGTTATCGATATGTTTCTTTTTTTGTATGTTTTCTTTTGTTAAGAATGTTTCATCTCTGAATGGTGACTGGAATTATTAGGCAGTTTTAGATTTGAAATATTATAGTACACAAAGACACTAACATACACACACACAAGCATAAAACACACACGCACGCACGCATGCGCGCGCACACACACACACACCACACACACACACACACACACACACACACACACACACACACACACACACACCACACACACACACACACACACACACACACACACACACACACACACACGCACACACGCCCATGTACACACGCAGAGAACGATAACTTATTATGTTACTTTGGTGAGGCTGCGGTTGCAACTAATTTCGTGTGCATTGTTAACGAGACAAATTCATCCAACCGCGTCGAGCGTGCATGCAGGCTATTTTCTTCTTCTCCTTCTTCTTCTTTCGTCTTCTTGTTTCTTTCTTCTTCTTCTTCTTCTTCTTTTTTCTTTCTTATTTACCTTCTTCTTCTTTTCCTTCTTCTCGTCTTCTTCTTTGTTTGTTTCTTTTTTATGTTCTTCTTTCTTCTCTTCTTTCTTTTCTCTCTCTTTTTCTTATTATTATTAATATTATCATTATTATTATCGTCCTTATTACTACTACTTTTTTTCACCTTCTTCTTCTTCCTCATCTCTTTCTTCTTCTTCTTCTCTTTCTTCTTTTAATTTCTTGCTTTCTTTTCGTGGTAATTATGGTAATGATCAAGGCAAGGATGATGATGATATTCTTATTAATGTTATTGTCATCATCACCATCACAAGTATTATTATTACTACTATCATCACCAAAACCACCGTCACTATCCTTATCAATATCATTGTTATCATCATTAGTATCACTATAACTAGTATTATCATTACTATTATCATCATTCTAACTACCATCACTATTATTATCAATATTATCAATTGTATCCTTATTATCAACACCATTATCACCATCAGTATTGTCATTACAACCACCATCACCATCGTTACCATAATTAGTGTCATACCACTTAATTACAATATTTTCTCATTATATAAATACATTTTTAATATACAGAGAGGTTATAGAACCTTAAAAAATAAATATTTCTTCCTGATTAGGCTCTCTACAGCCTAAAAAACCGACATTAAGTGATCTATGAGTCTACACGCTCATAAATATTACTACCATACCATTGAATATCTTTCCGTGACCTGTATTTTTGCGTTAATTGGCAACTGTGTGACGTTGTGATGTCGTTGGCAGATTTTTGGATAATGGTCGTTACGGTAATTTCGTTGTTTGTCCTTGTTTTATTTTGAATAATTGGTGAGTTGTGACTGGTCTATACTGTATTGGATTTTTGGTTAGTGTATTGATGGTTTTGTGTGTATTGATAAGAATAAGAGTATGTAGACATTTACACAGACACACATACACATATATATACACATACACACATACACATGCACATACACACCACACACACACACACACACACACACACACACACACACACACACACACACACACACACACACACACACACACACACACACACACACACACACACACACACAAACAAACAAACAAACAAACACAAACAAACAGCCACCCAAACACAAACACACACAAAAAACACCCCAACCCTTCTCCACATCTCTCAAAATACACCAGAAATATACTAAGGCCTTTCTAAATCCGCCTTTCCTCTCTCTGTTGCAGAATATGTCGGCTTTGCAACTTGCAGCCGAGGGGCGGGACTACCTCATGTGGTGCCCGGACCAGGAATTCGATCATGCAGTCGCCGCCTTGGACATCCGGGTATGTGTGTTGCAGAGTTTTCCTTCATTGCAAGTTGGGTATATTTATTGTTATTTTTATCGTGATTATTTTCATTGTTGTGTGTTTTATTCCGTGTATGATTTTTTGGTTTTGTTTTTCTCGTTCTTGTTCTCTTTCTCTCTCTTTGTCTTTTCTCTCTCTCTCTCTCTCTCTCTCTCTCTCTCTCTCTCTCTCTCTCTCTCTCTCTCTCTCTCTCTCTCTCTCTCTCTCTCTCTCTCTCTCTCTCTCTCTCTCTCTTCTCCCACTGTTATTTTGCTTAACATTTCTTCGTATTTATTTATTTTATCTGTTTCCTTTCCATTCTCTAATTCCTTTTCCTTCCAATCATCACCCTCTTTCTCATTCTCCTCTCCGTCCCTCTCTCTCCCTCCTTTTCCAACATTTTCAGAAACTAAAACAAACTCTTTCACAATCAACAAGTTTCGCTTTATTCAACAACCGCCTGAGCAACCGTCCTTGAATACAGTCCGCTACAACTCCGCTTAATGAGAACAGGCACTTTATTAGACAAGTTTTGCGGTCAAGTTGGAATATAAACACGAAGACGCTAATTAAGTTCCTCGAGACGTGAACAAACCTTCTCCTCCTTGTTGCTGAAGACCTTGAATTAAGAGAAGAAATGACGATGATGATGATGATAGTAAAGTAAAATAAGTGTGTTTTCACATCTTTCGTCGGGGTTCAAATCTACGGTATTTTTACGCCGGGTTTCGGGAAATGTTTTTGTAATGTTTTTGGAAATACATTGCTTAATTTCTATATTTTTTCGGTTTCTTGATTAATATATAAAAAGAATATTTCAACGGGAATAGGTGAGGAAGAGAAGAAATAGAAAAAAAATTACTTGTATGAGTATGATATGTTTACAGGAAGAATTATATGCATATTTATAGAATAGGAAATACAATATTGTTTTTCCTGCTTTCTTAATATAAAGAGAAGGTGATTTTAACAGGAATAGGAGAAGAAGGAAAATTAAATACACAAATAACATGTGTGAGCATATGGTTACCCCGAAAAGAAAAAAAAATCAGTCAATTTGCATATCAGTTATCGTGTTCATGAAATTAAAAATACGTTATATATTCTTTCTGTTTTTTTTTTTTTTTTTTTTTTTTTTTTTTTTTTTTTTTTTGACATATAAAAAGGTGGTTTGAACAGGAAAACGTGAGGAGGAGAAAATTAATAAATAAGTTAATGACATGTATAAGCATATGTTTGCCCTCCAAAAAAAAATAATTTGCATATTCATTAACTGATTTATGAAGTTATCACGAATATGCTTAACACATGTATATTTCTGCATATGATTAACAGTATTCCTGGGATGTATGTTTGTGAGTGATGTTTGTATGTGTGTGTATATGTTTGTTGTGTATGTGTATGTGCGTGTGTGTGTGTGTGTTTGTGTGTGTGTGTGTGTGTGTGTGGTGTGTGTGTGTGTGTGTGTGTGTGTGTGTATGTGCGTGCGTGTGTGTGTGATTACTATCATTGTTATTATCATTATTATTCACATTATTATATTTACACCAGAATTTAAATTTCATTTTGTTTCTTCTTCCCTTCCTCTACATATCATTACCACTAATAAAACTATTATTATTTTCATCACTTTTGTTGTTGTTATTTCAATTACTTTTTGTTATTATTGTTATTTATCATCAGTATCATTGACATCTGCGTCATCGTTATCATTATCATTATCATTATTGATAGTATGATGAGTAGCATTGGTATTATCATTATCATTCTTTTATTGATATTAATAATTTTGAATTGCATTACCATCATTATTGAAAATATCATTATCATTATCATTATCAATTTACTTTATTCACCATCAATTTACTTTATAACCCTGATCATTCCTTTCCTATATCTATATTCATTCATTTTATTCCCTTGAAATTGATAAAAGTGAATAAAGATGATATGAAATAAATCACAAAATAGATATTAAAAAAAACACGAAAATGAGCATTAGAGTATTTTTTTAATTGATATAAAAAATAATTAATTAATATTCTGGAATCCAATATAACTATAAAACAAAAAGGCATGATACGAGATAGATATATAGGCCTATCTTAGGTACGAGAATTGTCACCTTTAAGCGTGTCTTTGGCCTAGAAAGAAGCAATTTTCTCATTTGAAGGCGTCGTTATTACGTTTATTAAGTTGGCCTTTTGTCATACGTAAAGTGGCTTGTGTTTACGTCCTTGTCTTTCTGTGTATGTTTGTTTCTGTGCTTGTTTTTTTTTTGTTTGTTTCTTTTGTTTTAGTGTTTGTCTTTTTTTTCAATTTTCTTGTATTTTTTATTTCGATTTTTTTTTCTTCGTATTATGTTTAACTTTCATTAATTCTCACATTGTGTCTGTTCCATCTGTTTTCCTCCCCACTATTCCTTTTCTCCCCTCCCTATGCCTCTCTTCCTTCATCTCCCTATCGCCTTCCCTAACCACCTTCGTCTCTCTCTCTCTCTCTCTTTCCCTCTCTCCCACGTTTTCCCCTTTCTCTCTTTTTCCCCTTTGTCTCCCCCTCTCTCCCACCCTTCCTCTCTCTCTCTCTCTCTCTCTCTCTCTCTCTCTCTCTCTCTCTCTCTCTCTCTCTCTCTCTCTCTCTCTCTCTCTCTCTCTCTCTCTCTCTCCCTCTCCCTCTCTCTCTCTCCACCCTTCTTCTCTCTCTCTCTCCTCTCCATCTTCCCTCACCCCAAAACCCGCCATTAATTTTCTCCCAATTTCGCCCTAACCTACCACTTCCGGCCGAACCCCAGGCCTAACCCGCCGCCCATTTCACGCCCAATTTCCCTCATCTGTTACGGGCGTGATTGTGTTTACGTGTTTGTGTTTTGCTTGTGTAAGCGACCGGTCGTTGATATGCGTGACGTCACGATATCCTGGAGGTAGGTGTGTGGGGGAGGGGGAGGGGGAGGGGGGGGAGGAGGAGGAGGAGGAGGAGGAGGAGGAGGAGGAGGAGGAGGAGGAGGAGGAGGAGGAGGAGGAGGAGGAGGAGGAGGAGGAGGAGGAGGAGGAGGGGGGGGAGGGGGGGGGAGGAGGAGGGGTGGGGTGGGGGTGGGGTGGGGGGAGTCGTTATTATTTAGTTCTTATAGAAATTAGCATATTTCGAGACGGTTGAAATGTTGGTTTAAGTTTGAGGTTATTTAGTGGAGAAAGATTGAGAGAGATGTAGATCGGTAAGTAGTGAGAGGGTGAGAGAAAGGAGAAGGAGGGAGGGAGGAGGAAAAGAGATAGATAGAGAGAGAGAGAGAGAGAGAGATGGGGGAAGAGATAGAGAGAGACAGACAGAGATAGAGACAGAGACAGACAGATGAAGACAAGAAGAAAAAATGAACAAAGAAAGATCCATACAGAAATAGACCAAAAGACAGAAACAACAAGAGAACGAAAAACAGAGAATTTGTAATACCCATTAAACCTTCCCCTCTCCCCCACCCCACCCAAACCCCACCCTTTCCCCTAAGTCCTAATCCCCACCACCTGCCGGGAATAAGACACAGGCATTCCAGATTTCCAGATTTCCAGATTTACAGATTTCGGAACTTTCTTACCAGATTTCCCGCAAGACGTTCAATTTGTTTGTTGTCAAGGAGTCCAGATTCAGATCGAGATCATCGTCCGATTTTGTATTCAAATTTCACTCTATATTTTTGTGTTTGTTTTTGAAATCGCTTCTCAAGGATAAGTGTTCGGTTTAAATAATTTCTAAAGCGTGGGTTCAAGAGCGTTATTAAATTAGCTTGAAGGAAAAAAAGGCATATTACTACTAAACAGAGAAGCAAAGAGGACTGTGAATAAATAATAATGATAATATCATATATATGATAATGATCATAATAATGATGATAATAATAATAATTATAACAGTGATGGGGTTACCACACAATTGGATATTATCCGGATATTCATATTCAGAATCATAAACGCATTGATATCCAATAAAAGAGAGAATCCTTCACTTACGATGTTCATTTATTCCCCAGAGTCGCTTTCTTGAGGTTCGAATACAGGATCGAATCCTCTATCGCTCCTTATAAATTCCAACGGTTAAATTCATACCATATAGTACGAATCTCAACAGCTGATGAATTGGAAAAAATGGAAAACGACTAAAAATAGGTACAGTTGAGCCAAAAAAATAGAAAAATGCTGAAAAAAATAGGGAGAGTCGACACGCCCCTCCTTCGGACTGGCATAATGGCGGCCACAATATCACCGATTGTCTTTCACGGCGCACAAAAATGGCCCGTAATTCTTCCTAACCTTGACTTTCTCTCCGTGGCGATTGTCTCATTCTTGCCTTCTCTTTTTTGTTGTTGTTTATAGTTTACAGTTACGGTAAAGAATTTCGTTTTCGCGGCAAGATAGTTGTAGGTAAGATGTAACGGTGTCTCGTTGTTGGAACACGGTTCGAATTCGCAACGGATCATAAAGTTTTCAAAAAGATTCATAATAAAAACTGAAATGATGAGAGATAATGCGTAGATGAAACGAGAACAAAAGACGAGGAAGAAATAATATGATTTTTCATATTTTTACACTTTACGAATGAGGGAAAACGTGTGTGCGTATATGTATCCCCAAGACTATGTGCGTGTGCCTGCTTGTTTCTATCTGTGTGCGTTTGTGCCTGAACCACGCACATGAATGAATTTGTGTGTGTGTGTCTGTATCCGTATCACTCTATTACGTACCTACATGAATGATTTATATCTGTATTTGTACCAGTCTATCACGCACATAAAAAAACAACCTCATGTCTGTCTATGTCTACATAACTCTACCGCGCACCTATATGACCGAGTCCATGTCTACATGTGTCTGTATCACTCTGCCCATTGAGTGTGTAGCGACCTAGACATATTTACGAGTTGTTTATCCCACCGCGGAGTGCCAGAACCCCCGCCGGCCCTCCTGATGAGTCTTTGTCAGTCACGGAGAGGCGTAGGAGTGTGGGAAGCC